TACAGACACTTGCTGTAGTATATTCCAAAGCGGATTACGCGTTTGGATTACTTGAACTCAATGAATATTGTGTTGTGAAATCACCTGATGTATCATGAATCTTTGTAAAGTCGCTGGAAAAAGTATTATATTCAAATAGGCCAGGCACGTCGGTATCAGATTGCTCCCCAATCTACAGGTCGGTAATTTGGATTTGCCAGCCTTCCTAGCTGTTCATTGTTAAATAACTAAGCAGAAGTCCTGTAAACTCTTACCAGTCGACTGTAGACATGCATGGAGTTGCATTCAAGACAAGGGTTTGTGACCCACACAGGGGGATTTTATTTTGACCATACCGGTGTTTAATAAAGCATCTTGAATCGATTGCTTATCCAACTTTGTATCCAGATTATGGTTAGGACAAACAACTCTCATATCACAGTACCATTCAGAATTAAGATTTTAATTTCCATTACTATGTAACGTACTCGTATTGATATGAACTGTCACACACATTGAGTATCTTTTCTGGAGATATTTGTTGAGTGCTCAAACGCGTTTGCTTGATTATAACGAGTCGATTGTTTAATCGAAAAGTAAAAGGAGCATAATGTTAGTCCTAGGATAGAGAAAATGTACAATTGTTTTCACACAAATATTGGTGAGACTAATTTATACACAATGACGCTAAGGTTACCTAATGACAGCTCACATACTCCTGTTGCACCTCGTGAAGCAGCATAGACCGCCCACCAGTATTCCCCACCGAACTTTGTTCTGGGCGATCCTCTCCAGCTGTTTCCAGTTGTTACTTATCGTTTTGATTTCTACCCCAAACTCCCGACGTAATGTAATCTTCTTCTCTTACTTTCCGGATTCCAAGTTAACGCTGTTTTCGTTACACAGTTTGATTTCCTTATTGTTTGTCCTATCGATTTCCAGCGTCTTTTTCTAACTTCCTCTTCAGGTGTAAGCTGGTTTGTTTTCTCCCGCAAAAAATTGTTGCTGATGATATCTAGTCAACAACAGGGAAGAGTAAACAGCCTTTTCTGACACTGGTCCTGACTTGGAATGTTTCTGTCAGCTTTCTTCCATGTACAACTTTTCAGAGTAGTCCGTCGTATGAATTCTGGATGATATTGACGATTTCGTCAGGTACACCGTAGTGTCAAAGATTGTTCCGTAGAGTCCTCCTATCCTAACTGTCAAGTGCTCCTCATAGTCAAAAAAGTTTATGTGCAGTGAAGAATTCCATTCAGTTGATTATTCAGCAATGATCTGTAGTGTCGCGATTTGGTCTGTACACGACCGGTCCTTACGGGATTCGGTCTGTTGATCTCATAGCTTGGCGTCTACTGAATCTCCCATCCTGCTTAGCAACACTGTTGAAAACTTTTCCCGTTACCGATAGTAGTGTGATGCCTCTGTAGTTCTCACATTCGCTCAGGTCTCCCTTCTTTGGTATCTTGGTGAGATATGCTTCTTTTGAGTCTGTCAGTGGCACTTGTTCTTCCTCCCAAATCTTTCTAAATAAAACGTAGAGCATGTTTGTAGTTACTTCGATGTCTGAATTCAGTGTTTCAGCTGGTATATTGTCAGGTGCTTCTGCTTTCTCACTCTTTGATTTGTCTGATGGCCATGTTGATTTCTCCGATCGTTGGTGGAGTGATAGCTGTAGGAAGGTCTTTGTGTACTCTTAGATGTTCCGTGAGTTCAGTGGAGCTGGCCTATCCGAGAGTTCCTCGAAGTATTCTACCCATCTGTCAACTTTTCCTCTCTGCTAGCTATGATTTCTCATGAAAATCCAAACAAAATTAACGCTTACATGATAAATGGCTGATCATATGTACCTCCTAATTTTATTCCCCTTCTTTCTGCTAGTACTACCTTAGTCTTTTAGATGTGTACCTAGTCTCCTCACTCTTTGATTCGATACTGTTAAAACTCAGTTTCTTCACTTTTATATATGGTTGTCTATCACCACTTGATTGTGTGCTCACTCATTTGACTTTGTGTTTAGAAATTATTTTTAAAATATACACTGAGTAGTTTAAATGCTATTGTTTACGACCTAGGAAGCTCTTGGGGTCGGTAAATAGACCTAGATCAGAAGAGACCAACTAATACTTTTACGATTTGTGTAGAGGCTCTAAAAATCGAATACTGACAATATGGATAAATGATAAACCTGTTGTTTTAGTGTTTCATGTTCACAAGGTTTTGCTCATTTTAGTAGATCTCTGCTCATTTTTGGATTGCAGTATCATCTAATGGGCCATTTACTGGTATGAAAGTTACGAAAATTCAGATAAATAGATTACCAATATGTAGATCACATAAGATGTGGCTTCCTCATTTACCTTTTGCCCACTGTACCACTCAGTGACGTTATAAACCAGAGGGGATAACACAAAATTATTAGTTGGTGAGAATGCTTAATACCTTCAAAAGAAATTCAAGATTCTTCTTAGAACCAAAACGGTTAGTCGTGGATACTCTGGATTTCTATTCTCTTTTGATAACTGTAATTTTAAAGCTACTTATTTTTGCTCTCGCTGAAATTTAAAGATCTCATTCAAAATCCTTTTCTAATACAATTTATTCTTTGAAAAATTTCACTTTTTCATTCACTCGAAATAATGCTTGAAAAATATTATAAAGCTCGATCCTGGGTTAACCTAATCTTACGTGTATTCCGAGTGGCTGAATTGTTATGATAGAGAAGTTTAAGGTTTAGTTAAATTGAAATTATGTACTGTCTATTCATTCATTTGCCATTGAAATACTCAGTGTGGTAAAGCACTAAAGACTATGCCTCATAGGGTATTTTATTTCTAATGGTCATGAATGGTGAAAAAGCTGTGATGCAACTTTATTGCCCAAACCGAAGCAGTTAATATTCTTAGAGTCGTGCTGTCTAGCGTTGTTCTAGGTCAGTGGTCTAGTGGTTAATAAGTTCTACGTTGAGCTACTAAATACCGGGTTCAAACTTCTCCCACCTACCTCGGTTTAGGGAACCGGGTAGTTTCATTAGCTCTCACTTGGAGAGTGACTCATTCTCAATTACCTGGTGAATAAGTTATTTTAAACCTATAGAATGGGAGTGCAGGCACCAGGCGAGACATTCCTATGCTAGTCGACGACTGAAGTAACTTTACATGTCATTTATAGCAACTTGGGTCATTACAATCCGTGGTTGTTCCTTCGATAATGGTGACTGATTAACTTGTATGACACTCGGTTCAAGTCACAGACTCATATCTGTATTTTTATCGGACTTATTTATTCAGTTGAAACATGACAATCAGACTATAAAAATGTATGTTAACAACTATAACGTAGTAATCGTCATCTGGTGCTCATTTTCCAATGCGCTCCTAGTCCGATTATGTAGTTATTTCATCTGTTTATGCACAAACATTTTTATGATAGTTAAGAAATATCAGTTATTTAGCTTTAACTCGGAAAGTGTTAACTAAACAACATAGTTACACCAATAAAACGGATTGCAAGTTGATGGTTTAGGGGCTATGTGATGGTTACTCTAGCGCTGCAAATTGAGTCATTGTTTTTCCGATGGAATTGTAAGTCTTTTGCCTGTAACATCACTGTTTGTTTAGAATTTATTCTTAATTGTTTAATCTCACTTGTAAAGCGGTGACGTGGTAGAAAAACTGCCTTTAGCCCCTTCTACACTTTCTGTAGCTTTGAAAATGAGACGTCTCTAGCTTTCAAGCAGACGCTTGGCTCATACTAAAGTTTAGTTAAGTAATGTAGCTCAATGGAGGACATGTCCATGTACTCAAATTTTATGCACAAAAAGTAATAGTCGATATGTTATGTCTAGATGTACAGTAAAAATTTGCGGAAAACATTATTATGAATAGCATGGAAATGACTTTAGATGTCTGTTGAGTTTCACTGGGTTTATTTAGTTAAGTATTACCCGATAGACAGAGTACAGCAGGTTGTTTACTTGTTGTATGCGAGATTGTCCAGCTGCACAATCTGTAGTCGCGGTGGAAATTGAACTTGCAATCTAATTAGGAGTCGAATATTGATGATTTCTTTATTTAATACTATGTCTTTATTATGGTACGGATTCTTTAAATAGCTGTCAAACAACTATCCCACATGATGACAAATTAAAACATTCTCATAGAAAATACATTTTTCAGACTTAATAGTAAAGGCTAACAAATTAATCGAAATACATGTAATTTAAGTTCATTACTTTCGAAGTATTCTCGAGATTATAACCTACAAACTAAAAGTCTACTTGCACAGTTTTGATGAACTGGCCAAAGTAAATAATTATAGTTAGTGTAATGTTAGTCACAACATTATAGTTTGTCCTAAGCAGTTGCAGAATGTTCTCTCAAGTAAAGCGTTAACATTTCATCAGTCCGTTTAATTTGATATGTGTAGACTGTTTAACACCTGTGGTAATAAACACTCAGTACTTTTTTCTCATTCAATGATAGTATGACGACTACTTTTTGTAACATTGGTGTTGGTTTCCAGGTCATATAAAGTGTAAAACGTTGCATATTGTAAGAACAAACAATCTGGCTGGTATCAATGCTTAGTTGAGAAGTTATCAATCAAATGATTATTATGAAATACTGTCATTTTAATTTGACCATTGTTTTCATAACAAGCTACTTTATGTGAAACTAGACAGGAAGTGAGGCTCAAAGTGGTTCCCTTTTCAAGAGGTAAAATTACAAACTAATCCATGTTTGATAGATAAACTCAACTAGGTAGAATGGTTTAACAATGTGTTTGCATTAACGAATTCCATGTAATATATAATTTATGTCACTTAAGTAATCGGAATTTACACATTCGAGCCATGTGATCAAAATATATCTTGTGTTTGGTGTACATTTACCGTTTCTAGAGTTCAGTACAACTATTTATTCATGTGAAATATTTTTCAGGCATATAAAACCAACCATAAGAGTTGGACCTCTTATATTTGATCAACATCTGACGGGATAATTAATCACACCCAAATCATGTTCCTTCGGTCCATCATTGATAGTTTTCCGAAAACGTGGATCATTCAAAAGAGATATCTTCCAAAGATTAAAATTCCTGAATATCTTTTAGACAGAACAGTAAAACCAGAAGAAGTTTTAAGTCGCCTTACACCTGAGGATACAGAAAGGTTGGAATTTTGTATGGCAGAATATCAAAATATGCTTGAGAAAGGTGCTGATGTTCCGAAGTCTTTAAATAAAAGGAATGTTCTGGACCTGTTGTGCTGCACCAGTCCTACATCTCGAATAAAATTTCTAAGGTTTTTGTTCAAGTGTGAGAAGCGCGATGAAAATGCTCTTATGAAAAAGTTAGAGAAGGTAGATACACAGCATTTCAGTGAAGTCTGTTCTGTTGAATTTTTTTAATCAGTTTAACGTTTTTGTTTTCAAATGTGTGTAATACTATCTAGTGAAGTGGTGGATCTTTTATTTTTTTTCTCTCGATCAACGTACTAGGATTGTTTGTATTCAATGTCGTATATGATGGCGTTGATCCGAAATACTTGGTGTGGATAAAATTTATTTCGATCATGTAATAGGAATCCGTTTTTCCTTTGAGGTTAGGATTTTTACCATTTATTGTTATGTTACTGTACGTAATGTAGAACGTGACATATATGCATTGTTTTATGTCGCCGTACCACACAAACACAACGAGATAAAATTATTCCAAGACAAATCCTAGAGTAGTATAAATGGTAACCGTATCATTAGTATTATAAAACAAATTACGCATAGAAAACGAAGATATATATAGATTTCAGCACCCATGTTTTAGAGGAATACAAAGATTGAATGCACCTCCGCCATTACACACGATTTTTAGTTAATGTCAACCAACGTTTCTGATGATCGGTCATGATAATGACGCGGACTTCAACCAAGTAGGTTGCACATACTACCATTAATTAGTCCACTTGTCAATGACGTTTTAGACTGGTTCATTTCTTGGTTTGTTTGTCCGTAGCATTCTTCGAGCCTTTTACACTAGGCAACATACCCCGTCAAGGTAGGCAGTAGTTAGGTGTACGCTGTAAAACTTCCTCTTGGTGCATACTTTAGTGTGTTAACTTTTTCATGTACAGGGAACGTCCTGCCGATTTGTTTGCCTTAGTGAATTAAAACTTACAAGCCTAAACTCAGTCGTCCCAAAACATATGAGCGATTTTTCAAGGAAACTTTGGATCAAATACTAGTAAATTACGAATATAATCTATTCTTAATGGCAAAGTTTAACAACTACAAGGCAAAACGGTTCAAACTGCTGCGCAGTAAACTTGTCGTTTGTTTGGCAGACGGATATCTCCTGCACCACAAATGACGCAAGTTGACAAAAGCCAATCGAGCTTTCTGAATCGGTGAAGAGATTTCGTCAGACACCAAGTTATTAGTACTGATGAGAAGATACGCTCGACTACTTTACCATACTATCAACCTTAAGTGGTATCCGTCAAGGTTTTCCATTTTCCAATTTTTTTACTTAATTATAAACATCGTTCTGGATATTACGCTTTCATCGTCTGACTTTTCAAAGGTTAATCTCCTACTAGGAAGTTCACTTGTTGACTTAGAATACGCAAATAACAGTCTTTTCACAGTCCTAAGCAAACATGGTAATATGTTTTGAGTGCGTTTCTCTCGATCTAAATGCAAAATTTTGCTTCAGGACTAGTCTGCACCAGAGCCTGAATTAATGATAGAGTGTAAAGTTCGAGCGTATCGAACGCTTCACTTATCTTGGAAATCTCATCAGTACTAATAACTTGATGTCTGACGAAATCTCTTCACCAATTCAGAAAGCTCGATTGGCTTTTGTCAACTTGCGTCATTTGTGGTGCAGGAGAGATATCCGTCTGCCAAACAAACGATGAGTTTACTGTGCGGCATTTCTCTCATCTGAATGATGTTTTGTTTAGGATGCTTGCTTCCTTTGTTGATTGTCAGTTACCTGATCCTAGAGTTGTCAGTCCTATGCAACCGTTGTTTATTCACTTAACTGTCAAATGAACAAAACTATCTTAACGCAGTATACAAAATCGGCATTATGAATACCTATATCCTCCGATAAATTACGGGGACGCATTTAGTCGGTCTAGGGGTATCGACTCAAGAGGTCTTTATGGATGGTGGTCCAATTTTAGCGATTAGGTTGACTAATATTTTAGCTAAAAGCTGCGAGTTGGACGTAATCCCATCTGACTGGTCACCATAACTGATTGTCCCAATATAAAAGAACGGGTCAAAATCATCCTGTGATAATCATAGAGAGATTAGTTTGACTAACATAGCATCTAAAATACTAGCCTCAATAACTATCGTGCCCCTAACGTAGACTCGTGAACTGCAAAAAACGAGAGAATCAAGCTGGCTTCAGACCTGATCGTGGCTGCATCGACCACATATTCACCATTCGTCAGGTTCTAGAACACAGGCATACTTACCGGCGTCCGACAATCATGGTCTTTCTTGACTTAAAAGTAGCATTTAATTCCGTAGACCGCGAGATTCTATGGCAGTGTCAGTCATTGAAATGCGTACCTCAGAAGTACATAAACCTAGTGAAGGTTCTTTACTAGAACACCACTAGTCGAGTCAGAGCTTATAGCGAGCTGTCATCTGTCTTTGCAACTTCAAGTGGTGTCCGTCAAGGCTGTCGACTTTCTCCATTTTTGTTTAACTTCATCATAGACCTACGTTCTCGTCCACTGAATTCTTGGGCATTGATCTCATTCCAGAAGGTCCACTTATCGAGTTAGAATACGCAGACGACATAGTCCTATTGGGTGGAGTAGCTGATAAAATACAGAGTCTTTTGGTAGCACTGAGCGACAATGCCAGAATGTTTGGAATGCGCTTCTCTTCCTCCAAATGCAAGTTGTTGCTTTAAGACTGGTCTGCGTCAACACCTGAACTAAGCATAGTGAGTGAAGTAGTCGAACGCGCTGACCACTTCACTTATCTTGGAAGACTGATCAGCTTTAATGGGTTGGTGTCTGACGAAAGCTTTGCATGGATTCAGAAAGCTCGTTTGACTTTATCCAACTTACGTCACCTATGGGATATCGGTCTGTCAAATAAAAGACGAGTATACTGTGAGGCAGTTCTGTTCTATATTACGGATGCGAAACGTGGCCATTAATAGTTGAAAATACTCGTAAGCTACTAGTATTTGACGACAGATGCCTTAGAAATATTGCTTTCATCTGCTGGGATCATCGGGTAAGTAATAGTGGGTTAGACTCAGGGTATTAGGGAATGATGGTAAATCAGTTGATGAGGTTGTGAATCTTCATCGACTGAGATGGTTGGATCATGTGTTACGTATGCCTGAACACCGATTACTAGTGTGCGCAATGCTGACTAATGTTGGAGACGGATGGAAGAAAGTGAGGGGCGGCCAATCCAAAACGTGGCATAGTAAATAAAAATCTTACTACCGTTGAAGTGACTACTTCTATGAATTTGGTGTCCATTTGTGATAGTGAGGTGTGGTAACTTGGACTGATGCATATATGTGCCTGGTTGTGCGCTGTATATGACTGATCGACTACTGTAATGAAGCAGTTACCGAAATTTTGTTGATTTATTAAACGGTGATACCAAACAGGAACTATGTAATGATTATGTTTAATACGAAACTGTGTGTTGAAATAAAAATTTGTGTAAAGTTAGATACTTTTATTCGTATATACACATACTCTATATTGAATCTTATCTTGACACTGTTTTTGTTAATTTACCACTCTTGATATGTATTCGCCAGTAATATTACTGGTTTGTAAAAAGGAATGTCTAAACTTTTTAAAAGTAAGATTAAGTTTACCAGGCATGTTTTGTTTTTCCATACTAGGTAACTGTTGTCTCTGACAGAACACCTGGATCTTGTGACCGTATTCTTCGAATAATTGATGACAAATGTTTCCGTTCACATTGGGATTTCTGGCAAGCTTCTGAAATACGTTGTCCCGATTCAGCTCAGCCTTTGTTATTTGATTTCTCATATGAATCTGAGATGAGATTAGTTGATTTAAGGTCTCTCTCGAATCAAATGACGTATGTTCTGAACAGGAATCGTATAATGAGACCTCATCCATTCCATATGGTGCTTTGTGGTTTAAAACAAGGAACAAATCAGTTTGCTTACATGGAAGAAGCTTTTGGTGTGAATGCGAAGGTTTGTCTATTTAATTTTTTAGTCATAAGTAACCATCATAAAAACTTGTTGGCGATATTAGTGAGCAGTAGTCTATACAGCTTCTTATTATTAAGCTACTTGAGGATACATTTGCGTTCTTTAATTTTCTGTTTTCAAACATTACTATTTGTAGATTTTTTTGTATATAGTGATAATATCATGTAAATTCAGAAGTCAGACATTATGTTGAAATACAATGAAGACGTTTTTCTATCACTAAGACCATCACTAAAAGCATCTAAAAACACCGGTTTAAACAGCTTGACGCTTAAATATTATACACTATATCTGTTCATTATTTCACGACTTAGGATGAGTAGTATTTCTGAAATAGTGTTTGTAAGTGCATCCTGACTTTGGATGGTTTCCTGAAGTTCATAAAGACGAAATTTCAAATATGATTCGAAATCTCACTTATTGGTGATCTTGCCACAATTTTTCAAAAATCTATGTCAACAGTCCTGTCTATTTTCTATCCATACAATCTCGTATTAACCAAATGTCTAACTTTCGAATTATGCTAACTAATCACTTGATTAATTGAGATGAATAATTAAGATGATTATTGATACTTTCCGTCCTATATTTGGTCAACAAGCTTTCTAACTTACAGTCTTATGTCTCATTCTTTTGATGTACAATATAAAGCTATCAACTATTAAAAGCTTGAACGAGCTTCCGTGGACGATCACTCCCAATCATTTTTCCCATGAATATCCTATTCATGATTTAGAACAGCCTGTTATACTGTTGTCGCCAAATGCACGTCAAACATTTGAAGCTGGTGAATATGACCATAATGCTGCTTATGTCATTGGGGCAATAGTGGATAAAGCTGTTCGGAGACCAATTTCTTCTGCAATAGCTCGACAGTTACGTAAGTATTAACCGATTTGCATTTGGTAATTATCGAGAAAAGATCAGAGTTTATTGCGTAAGACTGAGTATTAACTTAATGGACTCATATTCTCAGCCTTTGTTCTTATATTTTTCGTATCGTGTAAATAACAAAATACAAAACTTCAGTAGCCAAGTTAGGCAAGTAGAGTTCCCTTATCCTTGTTTTCAGTAGCATTCAGATAAATCAAGACTTGATTCCATTGAAAAAGGTGTCGTTGTGTCACTGTCTAACAAATTAAGCGATTAGCAATTCCAAGGTTCCTTTTAATTTGTTTTTCTAGGTTTCGATTTGTACCATTTATTTCCTCCTTATATTGGCTTATATCTTGCTATATTCGTAGTAATTTATTCTCAACCCTAATCTTAAATTTAGAATCTATGACTTAATATTCTGAAGTCTTTTTTTAACTTGTCCCTTGTAATCTGGAGATTCTTATTTTTGGGGTTTTGATTAGTTGCTTTGTAGGTGTTGTTTTTCTCGCTGCTCATAGTAGTGTGCATATAATAACATCGATATCTGTGTTATTTCGGAAGCATTTACGAATAATCAACTATAAAATTTCTGTTTTTTTGATTGTTATATATATATATATATATATATATATATATATATATATATATATATCACCAAGTGCTTGCATCCTCGTGTAATAATTTGAAATTTACCTGGTATACTAAGGCAATAATTCCGTGCTCCATGACGAAATCCATCTTTCTACCACAGTACAATATCGCTTCGTCAGAGATTCTGAAACGTAAAGGAAACTATTAAAAAGTACCAGCTACCAAATATTTTCAGCAATATTGTGTAAACGATTCATATTTAAGGAAGCTTCTAGCAGTATTCATTAGTATACTACTGCATACTGTTTCGATGTGATCTATCAGATTTTGATTGTGATATGCAATCTTCCAACTGACTACTATATATATATATATATATATATATATATATATATATATATATATATATATATATATATTCTGTAGAGACTTAAGCCACCAATGGCGTGTCTCACTTTTTAGAAATAAAAACCATTTCTTGACGTATCATTTAGCTGAAATTTGATTGTCACTATGTATCATACAGTCACTCCCCTGTTAGCATCCTCAAGTCAGTTGACTTGTATTCATATCGTTAAAGATTTACTTGAAAAATGGTGTATACAAAATATGTAGATATTTTTACTTTTATGATAGAGATAAGTCCCCTGAATAGCGGAAGAATAACTTTTTCCACTTTATCTATCGAATCGTATAATCTTGATTTCAGTAGTATGGTTTATCTTCCCATATACATTAAACATTGGGTTGTTATTTACATTTAACCTTTTTTCTGTTTCTATACTACCGTAGTTGTGATTATTCCTTCTTTATGTTTCCCTTCGTGAACTTTATTATTATTATTTTTGGTGGTTTACACCCTCGATGTAGCTAGGTCGTTAGATAATTTGTTTATATTTTTATTGAGGAGTATTCTTGTAATAATTACATGTAAGGATTTTGTTTCTTTTCAGTCCCGTAATAATGCGCTTTATGCATTTTTGTTCTTTTTATCAACACCTGATGTCTTCAAGGCATAAAATGTGTCAGTTTACCTTTGGATCGCTATATAAAATGGGGAAGTGGCAAAAGCAAAACACTATCCATAAACTGCATTCATGCGATAATGTGTGCAGCCAAGGAAACTAATGGAGACTGGAAGAGAGCTCTACTTGAAAATATTCCTTCACGATTTTATGCTCTTCCATCAAAAGAATCTGTTGTATATAAAAGTACATAAAGCCGCATTTGTCTTTACGTATGCTTTTTGATAATACATAATCTTTCTTAATGTGTAAGTAGTCCAATTCATAGTACTTTAATAGATGTTAACGTAGCTCTAATATTGCGCAAACACGCCAATTACTTCTGATATTCTTAAATTACGTATATGACGTTATTTGTTTATAATGTATACAATACCGAGAACATTTTCATTTCATCAACTAATATCCCAGTCTTTTTTTTACATATAAGTACCAAGTCGGATAGAAAACCATATATAGTGTCTGGTACATTTTCAAGCGTAGTAAATCATAATGGGTTTCGCGTGATGCATGCAATTGGTTAAGCTGTTTTAATGCATCAACGTACTGTAAAATGTGGTAGATTTAGTTGTCGTCTCTACAGTTTGTTTCAAAGCTATTCCTTGGTATTGATCTGGAATCTTCGTAACTAAAGATAGTTATGTCAGTTGAACGGTCTATGTTAATACAAACACCTGCCTTTACCCTTTTATTGATCGTTTAACAACCCAGAGTAGGAAGGCTACATTATTAACATGTATTATACTTGTCGGCCTGATGTTATAAAACCGTCGCTTGAACTATGACATTAATTTCGTAAAATCAATGACAAGTAAAGCTCTACTCGACTCGTGCTTTGTAGACTACCTGGAAGTAGAATATTTAGTGATTGGTTTTAATAATTCATGTATTGAGATGTTTTCGATAACCCTTACAAGCTAATGGTAGTTTTCTTGAATTTTTTTATGTGCCAGAACACGCTAATAGCCGTAACGGTCCTAAGCTGTTCTCCAGCCACTGTATTAGTACTAACGAGTATGATTAATGTATAAGTTAAATTGTGGCACCCTTGGAACTTTGGTAATGTAAGTTTACTAGGTCAAGATGCCTACAAATTAGGACTGCTTTTGGGATGAACACAGTTGTTTGCTACATTTACTCTATCTTCAAAATAATTGCACTTCTCACTTCTCAGATTTTAGTGCAAAGTCTGTCCATGTTGTTGTGTGTGATTGATATAGAGCTAGTCATTTCAAACGTAAGTCGATTTTCGTTCCCTAATTAGAAGTTATCATACTAACGAATTAGCATCTAAGAGACTTTATGCAATAGTGTGATTTGTATAATGTTCTGCTACAGTCTGTTATTCTATCAGTAAGGTGTTCATACACTATTCTTGACTACTTGATTGAATCAGTTCAAGTTGCGGTCACACAAAGGTACCAGTCTGTAACACAAGTAACGTGTACAGTCCCATTAGCTGAAATAGTTAGTGTTAATTTAGTTTCACAATATCAATATTGGTCCATTAAATTAATGATAAGAATGTTAATTTAATCAAATGCGAGTTCTCCAGATTTCACTGAAACTTAAGCTTTAATTGCTTGCCCAACTGATAAGTCTGAACCTATATTCTGTCGATGGTTAAAACATTACGTGGAGTTACTCATCAACAGTAGCAAGAGTCTTATTCGTTAAACCGAAGGAGTATTACTTTTAAAAGCTATTATTCACCCATTACTTGCAACAATCAGCTCGTGGTATACAGCCTTTTCCTTTTAAAACTGAATGATCAGGAATTTATCATTGTTTTATATGCTCACTATAATTGTCTTATTTTGTTGAAAGCACAGAGAGACCATACTAGGATATTATCATACTATTCACAGTCAAATGTGTAGCCTTACATCGATATTTCCAAATATGAATTCATAAAGTTGTGGAAATAAGGAAGCATTACGGAAGTTCCTCAAGACATAGAAGAGCAGTCATTATAAACCGCATGACAAGTCATTGATGGAAGTGTCATCCTCTCATCTTATGCAAGTATTTTGTCGATGTACTGCGTCCTAAATGCGAATTGAATGTGACATAAGTTGGTGGTCAAAGTTATAGTAGAACACGAGCTTTAGATAGAGTGATACAATATGTGGACTTTTTCCACTACAAAAGATTTGCATAAATACGTGAACGTAGAACGGGTGAGGTAACATACAATGCGATAGTGAAAATAAAGTGACTAATTAAAAATTTAGCTGTTATCTTGGGAAAGTGTCATTTGTCAACATAAAGTAATTGGGTCATGATGATTGCTTACATATTAAACCGCAATAGACTGAATGACCATTTTAGAACCATTTTTCCAGAATAAACATTTTATTAGAATTACGCAAACTTTCCAGGAAAAATGAAGTATTTAACAAAAGTTGACTGAACTCTTCAGTTCAGGTTGTTTCGAGATATATAACCGTCTCACACTCTGCCTTGCAATAAAACACCTGTAAAGATTTACAACAGTGTAATTCAGTTAAAATCATCTTTTCCAGTTAACATCTCGTTTAGTTTTGAAAGTGTATCTCTACACATATGAATTTCACTCAAAAGTGTATCTATGTTTTCTAGTTGTTCCATGAGTTCTACTATAAGCCTCTGAATTATTTCATCATCCATGATTTCTTGTTTTTGACTTTGTGCTTCTAAACCAGCAAAAAACGTAGATACCTAAGAACAAGTTACTGTCCAGATCCTATCTGTTGTTACTTTATCGATCACAAACTGCTTACACTCAGCCATCTCTCTTCGATATGTATCGCGACATGTTTGTATTCTTTCTATTGCATCGTTTGCCTTATCTTCAATTAACTTCCTAAGTTCCTTTGTATCCATTTCTGCGCTCTCAATAGACATTGCGCAGTAAAAGGTGCAAAAATTGAAATGTTTCCTTTTGATTATTTAAAACAAGCACTCGCTCCTTAAATGTAATTATTTTGAATAACAGTTGCCTTCAAAGCGACAACCTTTCATATTTCTTCCCGAATATTTAAAGTTATGACAAGTAAACTGACGATACTATTGTTAAGTCTAGACGAAACATTTATTGAAGTAAGCTGATCAACACCTTAGCAGTTCTCTACCGAGATCACTAGTCGATGTTATATGCATAGATAGATATATGCTTATCATACAACCCTAATCGTCTCTAAAACGAAAAGGATTAAATGTCTTACTTTTCACTTAAATTAAAACCGAGAGATAATTAATGAATTATACATATACTTTCTAGGCTTTAAACGTTAGTTACCTTCTCTGTTTCTGTTTTCTTAGGTGAATCTGTAGGCAAATTTTTGTGTGACCTTAAACCAGTATAGGTTTGCTGAAACCAAACCAACTTATCAATCAACAAGTAATGAAATCTCTTAATCCTGGGACATTGACAACTAGAAGTTGATTTCTGTGGTAAAAATCATTATGGCATCAAAGTCAATGCGAATTAAATGATGTACACAAAAGAACTGGAGGGTTGCTTCCTTCAGAGCTTTGTTCTCTTCGAATCTAAACAAGGTATTTACATCAAATGGGGGAAGGACAGTTTCTTCACAACGTAAAGTAGAGCGCTTGAGTTATATGTAAGACTAAGCGCGTTGCTTTGCACCAGCAGTAAGGTTCGATTTTAAAAAACTAATATCTGAGGAGCAATTACGGTTTCCAGTAATTTTGCCTATATTCAGGACTGTTTGCGATCTCCAACGTTGCGACGAATTGTATATTAAAACGGTGGAGTTACCATAATTCGTAATAAATACCAACTGACATGATTATTGTGTCCTACCGGTTCAAACAGAAATGGATGTACCACACGTAAGCTTAAATCCATGCATGAGTAAGACTGTTTAAATCTCCTTATTGTGGATGATAAACAATCTACCAACTAAGAATGTACCTATTACTCAGATTTGCTGAATAACTTGATAAACGATGCAATGTACGTAGGAATATGTAATATAATAATATGGTCAGTGTTTGGTTGGTAATGAATATATTTGACAGTATGAAGATGCTGTGGGCATTTCCTGCCAGTTCCAGGAATGATTTAGCTAGACACACCTTATTTACAAAGTTCGATTTCAAACATCTATTGTGTTAGTTTCTTCGTAGGAGCAGAAGCATCTTGCATACGTTCAGTTTAATTCAGACTTAGTTATGTAATTTATAAAACCGTCTCAGTAATTCACGCTTCGACCACATTTTTTGAGTTCATTTATGAGTCTGTGAGACTAGATTGGTGTTGGTGCACTGAGCTTTGCTCCCGGAGTAATACACGTAGTTCAAAATTATATTTTCTCACGATTTGCCTAATTTATCTATCAGATTTTATGAGAAAATCACATGATATTTTATTCTGACTCGTTCTGTGGTGAATTCAGTAATTTTTAATTTATTACTTCTGAGTTGCATATTTGAACCGGAAGAAGACTATAGTGTGCTGGTGTGAAAAACAAAAAAATATTACATGGGTTAAACATATATGCATGGCCGAAACATACCATAGTGATTAAGTTTTCCGCGTTCAAAATTTCTGACCATTTCTATGCTATCATATTACATAAATACGCACGCCTGTAACTCCTAATGGAGCACAGGCCGCCGGCGAGCACAATACAACCCACTATGTCCTGAGGCTACTTTTCCAGTTCCATTCAATTCTCGTTCATTTTTCTCATGTCTATCTCCATTTCCCGGCGTAATGTGTTCTTTGGTCTTCCTCTCTTCCTTTGGCCTTGGAGATTACAAGTGAGGGTTTGTCTTGTGACGCAGTTGGGTGCTTTCCTCAATGTTTGTCCTATCCACTTCCAGCGCCTCTTCCTAATTTCTTCCTCCGCTGGGATCAGGTTTGTTCTCTCCCACAGTTGGTTGTTGCTAATAGTGTCCGGCCAACGGATCCGAAGTATTTTGTGTAGACAACTGTTAATAAACACCTGTATTTTCTGGATGATGGCTTTCGTAGTTCTCCAGGTTTCCACCCCATACAGTAGAACTGTCTTGACATTTGTATTGAAAATCCTGACGTTGGTGTTGGTTGACAAACAGTTGTTTTGAGTTCCAGATGTTCCTCAGTTGTAAATATGCTGCTCATGCTTTGCCGATCCGCTCCTTCACATGTGAGTCAGATCCATCCTGTTCATCAATGATGCTGCCCAGATAAGTAAAAGTTTTT